AAAATTTGTTGTTCCCCAGCAATACAGATCCACCATCTTGATCACATAGCTCTTATAACAAGTCTTTGTTTGGAGTCATGTGCCAAGTGCACCCAAAATCCATAATCCACTCCTTCGAAGAGTTGCTGCTCGAAACCACAAGAACATCAGATGAGTCGAAACAATGGCTGCATTGCCATTATCCTTACCTCCATGATCTTTCAGGCATTCAGTGTAACATCCCGATTTATATTTAGTATTATTTAATCATTTTATTAATTATTATATTTTATGGTAATTAATTTAATTGTGTGATTTGGTGAATATTTGATTATTAGAATATATGTGTTATTTGAATAATTAAGTTTAAGAGTAAGAATAGAAAATAACTAATTGGGCCTAATAATGAGAAATAGAAGTAATAAGGAGGTGTGAATTACTAATCCCAATAAGAGAACTATAGTTAGTAAGGGTTATGAGAGATAAATGACTAGAACTCTCATTTTGTGAAAAGAAGAGAAGAATAAGAAGAGAAGAGGAGAAAGAGGAAGAGAGAAGAGGCAAAACCTAGAGGTGAATCTTCAAGAGGTAAGGGGGAGAATCCTTATTATTATGGGTGTGTATGGTATGCAATGGATAGTAACATGCTAGGTGTGATTTGATTTTCAATTTCTGGATCTAAACTCTCACATGTTAGGGTTTGTGTAGAAATCTATGGATTTGATAGAAATTGATGTGTTAAATGGAATAGAATGAGTACCTTCATGTTAGGATGATGGATTATTAATAAAATTTGAAAACATGATGTTTTTTAGTGATGGTTAGTGTTTTTTATAAGAAAAATCGTGTGGAAATTAAGTTAAAATGCAGAAAAAACTATGTTTTCGAAGTTTAAGTCGACTCAAACTGAAGGGGGTTCGACGCGAGACAACCTGTCAGGCAAGGAAGTGTTGTCACACAGTTTTGCGTCGACTCATACAGGGTTTTGCATCGACTCATACAACAAGTTTTCTGGCAGATTTTGTAACGACCATAACTTTTGAACCGTAACTCTGTTTTAGGCGCCGTTCAAATCGTTAGAAAGCTAACGCAATAAAATATAAGATAGAACTAGGTTTGTTGGAATTGGATGCTTGGAATAATAGTTTTGATATTATTTTTTATGTGTCATGAATGTATGATGAATGGAAATAACATGTTTTGGCATTGTTTGCTATTCGTGATATGTGTGGTTGATGAATGTTATATGATTGTATTGTGTTGATGATATATGTGTGGTTGTGCAATAGTGGATAGTTAATTTTGATTGATTATTGTGATATGCGGTATGATTAAGGTTTGGTGATAATCTTAATTTGCATATAATTGGTTATGTTTGCACATGCATGCATGGGGAGATTGAACTCTGGTTGGTTACTTTGATCCTTATGTGGAAATAGAAGCGGTGAATTATATGTTCATATTTGTTGCTTTGATCCTTGTGTGGAAATAGAAGCGGTGAACTATATGTTCATATTGGTGGGCTTTGGTCTTGTCTGGATCAGAAGCGTGACCCTGGTTCTAAATATTGAATCAAGAGCGAGGTGAACTTGATGTTCATGATTGTGCCACACGCACGAGTCACATTGAGTCGTACTGGAGTCGCATTTGTTGTTATGTGGTGTTTTGCTTTGAATGTATAATGTGTGTGATAATTGGTTTAACCATGACTTTGATGATGATTGTGTGAATTATTCTACTTGGATATAATTGTCTTGGTACTTATATTCGTGAAGCCATATTGTATAGATAATTATACGAAGTGTGATGAATTCTTGGAATGTATGTGTGTTATATACATTGTTTATATTATATATATCCATAATGATGTGAATTCTCACCCTTCTGTTGTAATGATGTTCTATGCGACATCGCGCATGTACCAAGGATAACGGTGAGACTTGCCAGGATTAGTCAGAGGAGTTAGATCCTTATCTATCAGTTTATCTCCAGGTAGTGAGTCATTTCTCTGGTCTATGTAACACAGGGGGGGGGGGGGTTGAACTCATGTTTATTTGAAGAGGTATTGTTATTTCTCTTATTTGAATTGTATGTTGAGAGTTTATGTTGAGTGACCTCAGTGCCTAATGATTTTAGATCCATGACATGTTATGAGAATTTATGATTATAGTTGGGATATAATCATTATTATTATTATTATTATTTGAGTAAATAATTATTCCGCTGTGATGTGCATGATTTTGAAAAAATGAAGTTTGAATACGTGTTATGATCATGACCAATATGCATGTTTGAATATCTTGGATATTTTGTGAATTCAAAATGTGACGCCCTCTTTGAGATGCATGTTATTTTATTCTGATTATGCTATTTATGCAATGATGAGAGACTAGTGTGCTATTTATAATAAACCTAACGTACTAAATTAATGGGATTTTTCATAAATATCCATTACAATTTAACTTAGGGTACAAGCTAACTTAAACAATTAGAGATAACAAACATGCCCAATTCTAAGTACTAACAACCCTAGCATTTCGAAACCCACATACTAGAACACACTTCGACTACAGTATGTGGGTCTTCAACACCAGCATGTGAACATACTTCGACGACATGCATAAATCCTGTCGAACCAGAAGCTACTCTTTGACCCAATAGAGTTCAATCCAATATCTCACAAAATCAATTTTTAACTGAAAAATCATTTGTAAAAAATTAATTTCCTGTTTTAAAAACTCAATTTTTATATTCAAAATCGATTTTAAATTAAAAATTGGTTATGAACTTTAAAACCGGTTATAAAATCTATATCCAATCATAAAATTTGGTTATGGATATAACCGATTTTATAACTAGTTATGTAAAAATATAACCACTTATATGAATCAAGTTATAATATCCGATTATAGTAAATGGTTATAGATTGAATATAGTTTGGTTATGTGAATAATTCGACCATGAGCATCCCTAACTAGAGTCAACATAATTTCTCACTAACATGATCAAACCACTATTACCGACACAATCTAGATCTTCATTAGAGACATCTCCCTTTTAATACTGTGCTGCAACTAATGTTTCCGTTTTTATTTCACCATCAACAAATAAGAGAACTTTGGATTTCATATCTCTTGATTCCATGCATACATGATTAGCTTTGTTTTCTTCCTCGGCATCCCGAGTTACCATCAGCAGAAGCCATGACAAAAAAATTGCAAGTGAAGAAATAGATCTTCTAATTGAACGAAAGAGTATAACCTTCAAGACAATCATCCATATAGAAATCTACACACAACACAAGTATATACCAAAATAAACAAAAGTCAACAAATTCGATGGATTCAGAGGAGAACGACAAAATGTTCCTTCAAGATACATTTTGAAGCCATGGATGCGACTTTGGAATTTCAGATCTGAATGACAAGAATGGTTTTGAAGCCATGGAGGTTAGGGTTTTGGGGAAGGGAGGAGAGAAAGAGAGGAATGTGCATGTTTTACTCTCTCAAAATAATCACATTGAAGATGATTAAATGATGATATAAGAATAAAGTTACATTTCAAAAAAAAAGACACGTAGATAAAATAAATCTAACTAGATTGTCACTTAGGTAAAAGTTAATGTTTTTTCACAAAATTTAACGAAAAGTACCTATTAGACAAACATAATAATTTTAGGAGACTAATATGCAATACTTTTTAGATAAGGAATTAAAGTGAAATATTAAATTAAATTAATGACTAAAACATGCATTAAATCTAGATTATAATAAAAAATTATTCAAGTAAATTCAAGAAAAAATGGAATCTAATAATGTCTGAAGAGGCAATTATAGTTATATTCTTCAACTAATATATTGAGCACCCAAACTAAGCTTAAAAGTTATTCATAACCACAAATATTTATTCAAATAATTTATTAGAACAAATTACCATACGAGAGAGCAGATATGTAAGAAATCAAAGTTGGTTATTTAAATATTATCAGTGTTATTGATGGTCGATGACAGCCTATGACGGAGAGTCAAAATCCCACCATACGACCCAATATTTATCATTACAACGAGTCTAAAAATCAATGGTATATCCGTCATGATGGCTATTTGACAATACTTGTGCTAGCAAAAAAAATTATGATCTAAAACTTAACTACAAAAATTTGTGATACCATAAATATAATTGTTCTGAGAACATATATTATTTTGCAAACTAATAATTAAAGTATTTGTTTCCTCAAAGATCTTTTCGAAAAATAAATCAGACATAACATGGGTGACATAAATTGATAGGAAGTGAAAATTAGTTTCTAAACATCTTAATTATTTAATGTATCTTAGTTGGGCTTTTATTGCATACTGTTTAGATGAGCTTTTTAGTCATTAGGTCTTTATGTCACTATTCTCTACTACTACTATTTATGTACTCATTGAAAGATGGAAAAAATTATCAAGAATTAAATGAAAAAGTCTTTATTTCCTTTAAATCTATTGTCATTTTAGCGTTCTTCCCTTTTAGTGTAGAAACCCTAATTTCATAGTTTTGATAGGAAACTTCTTATTAATTGGTGCTTTCATCCATGTATTCAAATCCTCCTATAGATTATCCATCATTCATGGAGTATTCCTCCTACCTATCCTACAAACCCCTCTTTTCCAACTCCTACCACACCTTCATTTTCATCTTTTCCATGAGAAATTTTTACACCTTATTATTTCAACACTCATGTTGCATCATCATCACCACCAAATTTGTATCTAAATCATGGGTATTCACCACATACTCATTATTCGTATACATGTAGCATTCTTGCATTTTACCCCACAAGCACAACCCTTACTAGTGCTTCACAAAATTTATGTTTTAATGGGTATACACCAACTTCCCCATAACTATACAAATATCAAACCCACTCTAACAATAGAAGATATTTTGAGAAGTATTTGCAAGTGTCTTATTCCTATTTTAAGAAAACATCAAAAACAAAATTCACAGTAACATACTTCACTCTCTCGAGTTCATCAATGGCGACACAAATGGAGATCCTAAATCGAACTCATTCTCTTCTCACAAAATCCAAATCAACCAACATCACAATCAAAACCATTTCAACTTTCCCATTTCTCAATCAAGAACCTGAACTCACAAAACCAACACCTTCATCTCTTCCTCCAAATCCCGCTTCAGGAAGCCCACTCTACAACGAGAATTGGCGAAACCCTATCCCAAAACCCCCATCTTCAAACTCAAACGCGGTAGCTCCGTTTGGTCTTGTCACACGTGCTTCACTCTCTGAAACCTACGATTCCCACACGCTTCTCAACATCTTCGACAATTGGATGGCTTCACAATAGTGGCCTGATGTGAAAGATTTGTTCGAGGCTTGGGTTAGGTCATTGGATAAAAATGGGAAACCTAATAAGCCTGATGTGAATATGTTTAATCATTATCTTAGGGAGAATCTTATGATGGGAGCTTCTGCTGATGATTTGCTTGATTTGTTAGCTCAGATGGAGCATTTTGATATTTCTTCGAATACCACGTCATTTAATTTGGTTCTTAAGGTTATGCATCAGGTTGGTGAAATGCTTGATGCTGAAAAACTTTTCGAACGGATGTTGCAGTCAGGAGATGAAGCTCTCCCTGATGATGAATCATATGACTTGGTCATTAGAATGCTCTTTTCAACTGATCGAATTGATGCTGCATTCAAATACATAGATTTAACTCTGAAACATGGTAACATGTTGTCAATCAATTTATTTATGAACCGTGTGAGGAGTTGTGTCAAACAGGGAAGACTTGATACATTGGTGCCAATAATTGAAAAGTGTAGGGCAACAGATCAAAATAAAGCCCTTTGCCCCTCCTGGAACTTATGTATTTTTATAGCTGAAGACGCATTTCGAGAGGATAATAGCAAGTTAGCCTATTATGGACTGGAGTTTATGGCCCGATGTATTGTCAAGGGTGAACGTGCAAGACCTCCTAAGGCGAAGGTTCTATTTCATATACCGACGATTCCGAGGCCACAAGATGAGTTTACTATAATTGTTAATATTGTTGAGAGCTTACTTGATTATTACTATGTTGCCGCCTGGGATATAGTATTTGATGTTGTTTCAGCTATGTTTCACAAATTAGGAAGTACCTTTACTTCATGAGAGGTATTCTCAAAAACTTGGAAGATATGCAGAAGCTGTCTGATGAAGATTTTCCCTTTAAGAAATAGCTTCATAAATACGTTGGATAATCTCTTGTTGTAATGGGACCTGAAACATTATTATCCCTTGTACCATTGAATTTAGAAGCTGAAGATTTATCTGTTTAAAATATATGGTTTCTTCCAATTCAAAAACAATATATTGTTGGTGCAATATATGGAGATAGGGGAGATTTGATTCTTTGCAATGGATGTCCTAGGGCCTTTCATGCAGCCTGCTTGGGTTTACACACTGTACCCACAAGTGGTTGGAAATTTCTAAATCATAAAGATAATACTGATGATGAAATAGGTGTGATACCCATCATGATACGGTTGACACGAGTTGATAAAGAACCAGAATATGATATGGGTGGATGTGTTATTTGCAGGGAAAATGATTTCAGTGTTGATAAATTTGACGACCGAATAGTAATAATTTGTGATCAGTGTGAGAAGGAGTATCATGTTGGTTGCTTGTGGGACATTGGGCTATGTGAGTTGGAAGAGCTTCCTAAAGAAAAGTGGTTTTATTGTGACGACTTCAGTCAAATATATGTGGCTCTACAGACTTCAGTTTCTACTGGAGCATATACTATACCCACTCCCTTGTCTGAACTAATAATCAGGAAGCACAAGGAGAGGGGGTTGTGTACGTATGTATTCATGAATGATATTCAATGGAGAATTCTAAGTGGAAAAGTCATTATCTAGAGCATTTACTATTGTTTTCACGAGCTGCTGCAATTTTTCAAAAGTGTTTTGATCCCATTGTTGCAATATCTAGCCATGAACTGATTCCTGTTATGGTCTATGGGAGAAATATTTCTGGCCAAGAATTTGGGGGAACGTATTGCATTGTTTTTATTTTGAATTCTATTGTAGTATCTATCAGGCTTCTTAGGATTTTTGGCTGCAATATTGATGAGCTTCCCCTGGTAGCTACAAGTAGAGAGTATCAAGAAAAAGGTTATTTTCAAGTGTTGCTCTCTTGCATATAGAGGTTGTTGTCTTCTCTAAATGTAGAAAAGTGGTTTCTCCCTGCTGCAGGGGATGCAAAGTCAATTTGGACTAAGAAATTAGGCTTTCACAAGATGAGTGAAGATCAGTTATCCAAATATCTTAAAGAGGGTCTCTACTATTTCAAAACCATGAAAGAGCATTATGGACTCGAGCCTTCGATGGATCACTATGGTGCCATGGTTGACCTTCTCGGTCGAGCTGGAAAGCTAGTGATGCCAATGATAGTACAATTGTTTTTGTGCAAAAAGGCCATTTTTATGTTTCAAAAGATATCTTTCCACAGGTTCAAGAAGCTGTCAGCGGTAGTGTTTTTGTCCAGATGCCTAACACTTGGGTAAATCTGGCTCAAGATGTAAACATTCAATTATTTCAGTTTAAGAGGTGGGATCCCGGAAGATGACAAAAAAATTGTGACATTATTTTAACAACCTTGAGGACAAGGTTGATTTTGAAAGGGCGAGTAATGATAGGAAGTGAAAAGTAGTTTCTAAACATCTTAATCATTTAATGTATCTTAGTTGGGCCTTTATCTCATATTGTTTAGATGATCTTTTTAGCCATTAGGTCTTTATGTTACTATCCCCTACTACTACTACTACTATTTATGTACTCATTGAGAGATAGAAAAACTTATCAAGAATCAAATGAAAAAGTCTTTAATTCCTTTTAATCTATTTTTATCATTTTAGTGTTCTTCCCTTTTAGTGTAGAAACCCTAATTTCATAGTTTTGATGAGAAACTTCTTATCATAAATAGACCAGTCATACGAAACTATGTGTCTATCACAGAAACCTATAGAAACTGCTTCATTAAAATGCATTGCATCCAATCAAACCTCCACATAAATTCACAAAAACCAAAAAAAATAACGAAGTTATGCATAACACAATAAAATTAGTAACACTGCAATTTATCTTGTTCTTTAACACTTTTAACATAATCAATATATAGAAAAAAATTCCACCACTCTTCACATCATTCTTCACTCTTTCAAATGGAGAATCCTTCTTTGTATCAAACCCAAAACCTTAAATGATCTTCAACATCATAAAAAAAATATATTCCCCCCAATGCTAATGTATATTGTAACTAATTTGGGGCCAAAAGATTTATTGATGGAGAAATTGGATTGGATTGTCTCCTTGAGTGATTTCATGTGCTGAGATTGCTTCAACATAATGGCTCGAGCAATTTTTATTATTTTCTTTCAACCTCTATCGATGAAGTTTTATTTGGACTTAATAAACTTGTACTCACATTCTTAGAAAGAGAGTACAAGCTCCACCGAGTCGGGAATAAAGGATTCAACACTATTTGAATCCAATTCCCAATTTGATAAACTCAAACATTTGTTAATACTTCCAAGACCATTATTCCAAATCAAGGGTTCCTCCCAAATTCTAATAGAGAAAAATGAATAATTAATTTTAACTTTAAGCATCCTATTAATATATTCAGAAACAGATGTTTCAGTCGAAACTCTTGAAAAATTAAAATGCTCCTATGTATAAAATCGAAGTGTACCCAAAGGGGGAAATGGTTTTATATGTGTAAAATTAAAAGATGTTCATCACGTGTCAATCATGGACTGTGGAAAGGGCATGAGTTTTAAGTTTTAGATTCCAAGACAGTACTATTGACATAATCCCACATGACTTCTGTTGAGATTGTAATCCCTTATGTCTAAGAAAAATGTTGCTCGACAGAAACAAGGGTGTGTCGAAATAGTCTAATGTGTGTTGAGTGGTATTAGATGTCGAAATGCCGAAGCAGGTTTCTTGACACAGGATTTCGACTTAGACTAAAATAGGTATTTTGGGCTTTTTATTTTGTTTTGGGCTTTGGCTTAGGGAGAAAGCTAACCTAAAACTTTAAATAGAGGGAGTAACCCATATTACTGTAACACATTGAATTTGCAGTTGTAAAAGAATAAAGATTCTTAGTTTGTGAGCAGAAAGAAACTCTGCAGAAAATATTCACCTTCTTCTTATTTTTGTTCAATCAAACCCTAATTCTTCTTTCTTCCCCAATTCATCTTTTCTCTTTCTCCATTGTAAATTGTTATGCAAAATTATCTTGCAACCAAGGTTGATTGATTCACTCGAGTGAAGAGTGAAAAACAAGGGATTTCGATCGTGTCGATTGAATCTTGTTCATCAAAATTGATTTGGAATTCTCCATAAGTTTGGTGTAATTCCCAACAACTTCATCATCCAATTTAGTAATAACTAATTAGAAATGAGGTGATGGGGAAAAGGAACAACCAATATAAAGAGATATGATAATAGGAGAAAGGGGTGTTCAAGAAAGATAGATATCCATGAAGATAATCAGGTACAACATAAGAGGGCTAGGGGGTTGGATAAGAAAAAATAAGTTTAAAAAGTAATTCATAGTCAAAAGCTTGATGTAATTTGAATTCATAAAACAAAACTAAAAACGATCGATATGAACACATGTACAATGATGTGGGGTTCTGATGACTTTGAGTTTGTATTTAAGACATCTAGAGGAAGGTTTGGGGTCTTCTTGTTATTTGGGACATCAATACAGTGAAAATCTAAAGGAAAAGTGTTTTGAATAATGCTTTGTGGCTAGAGGGAGAATGGGGTTGAGGATAAGAATATAGTCAGTTTCGTGAGCATGCAATAGAAAAAGAAAATTGAATTTATGGAAGAAGATTAGTCAGCAAATCACGAGGAAGCCGAATGAAATATTGTGTCTTATGGAAGACTTTAATGCTATAAGGGAAGAATCAGAAAGAAAATGGGCCAGTGAAAATCTTAGAAGGGAGGTGCAGCTATGAGTCGGTTGGACATGTTCCTTTTATCAGAAGCTAGGGTACAAACATGGCCAACAAACACTCAACGATGTTTAGATAATGAGCTATCTGATCACTTCCTAATTCTTATGCTTGAATTGAGGTTTGAATTGTTTATATGTGCCTCAGTTGTATAAATAGTGATCTCATTTGTATATATTAATAATCTTGCCTTGAAAACTACAAGCAATTTTCACATAGCCACCGTTGTGTTGCTAGATAATCGACTATTTTTTTAAAATTTTCAATAATTATTTTTTATATTGACAAACATTATTTTGACTAACAATGTTTGTTGTAGTGAGTTTTTCTAAAAGAACAATTTTTAGAATTAATATATCAATAGAATTAATATTTCTAATAATTTTAGAAATTTATTAAATTTTCTTTATTATTGTAAATTTTATATTTAAAGTCAACGTATATATATCCTACTCTATCACCTACTTAAAGGCTTGGATATATAAGTAATTGCCACCTTAATTGTCATCAATTCAATCAAGGTAAAGTATATTATTTTGCAACCCGTGAGAATATAATTGACAGAGATGGATTATTAAGTATTGGCCTTTTGATTTAATTTCGTTGATTTTAATACACCATATTATTTTGGTAAAGTGAATGTAAGTATTGTTGAAACTAGGTCATACAACCGCCAAAGTAGTGTTGAGACACGTTTAAAATCTACCGTACAAAATATTATTTAATGTAAGTATTCTAACTTGTTGGTTACTGTATTTGAGATATATTTAAAATGATGTTTCATAAAATATATAAATATTCTATCTCAGTAAAATTCATATACTATGATTTGAGTTAAATTTCAATTTTTTAAATTCTCCTTCTATTACAGTAATATCAATATTTGTTCAATTTAATAAAGTCATGCTCAAAATGATTGTCTCTCATACTACTCTCCAAATGTTTGATTAAAGATTTTGTGTGGTTTAAATTATAAGCGTGCATATATTATGATATTATCTCGCCAATGGTTTTGATCGATCGACAATTGCATTTTTTGTGTGTGGAGAGATAATAAATTGCCTTGTTTCGAAAATTTGGGGTGGATATTCCAATCTTTTAGCCAAATAATTAACATTAAATAATCAGACTATTTTGGCAGAATATTCCTTAATATTGTGATATATTTTAATTTCTAAACATAAATTATTATTAAATAATTGATTTTGATATCATATTATAATCAATTATTTTGATATTTTATGATTTTGGAATAATTTTAATTTTCATATGTATCCAAAATTTTCTTATATAATATATTTAAAATTTCTAAATGATGTAAATATTGTGTTTTTAAATTTTATAATAATTTTATTATTAATTTATATATTGCCTAATTATATACCTTCTCATTGGTAAAATATGATAATTATCTTGAGCTATTCTAAAGGCAATTTAATAATTTTATTCTCACATTATGTTAATTTAAAATATTGGTTTATATTTTGATATAATAATTTATTAATGATTTATGAATTTTGAGCTGACACATAATATTTTACTCATCATCAAAATGCTCACTAACTCTAGTTAAAAGGATGATGAACGTGTCACATTTTCTATGAGATTAGTTATAATTTAATTATTATTTTTGAATCTCTTGTGACTAATATATAATTTTATATAAGGAGGAATTTCTTAAAACATTATGCACTTCCTTTTTTTGAAATTAAAACTATACAATTATATAACAATTAAGTGTTGTTATTTTCTCGAATAATATAAAATTAAAACTCTCTAATTATTTTCATAAATTGATTTCTTGTTATATATTCAAATAAATAAAAAAATAAAAAATCTAGTTTTATAAGTATAATAGAAATTTTATTATGTGAGAGTTTTATTCTGGAAAATTAAATAATCATTAGTATTTGTATAATTGTAATTCCACCTCTCGTAAATTCAATTATATAAATTTTTCTATCTTGAATAAAATACAAGTATTATTGATTCATACGATTGTAACTCACCTATCATAGGTATAATTATATAAATTTTATTTTATAAAATAATTAAATTTATATTAATTATAATTAAAATTATATTTATAATAGTTATACCCTATCTGTATGTTATTATTAATATAATTTTTTGATCAATGTACTTGTGATTTGTGATTATGTAAATTATAGTTCGAATACCTTATCGGTATTAAATTTTTTGTGACATAATATTTGTGCATTGTAATATTTATTATTTAATATTGTTGAAACTATTATTTGATAAATAAGAAATTATTTTGAAGACATGTAATAGTTTATGAAATCCATTCATTTATTTTAAATTTTTTATTAAAATGAATTTCAGTTCTCTAAGTGTTATGTTAGTAATGGACATATCCTATCAGTGTAATATTACTTGACATGATTAATGCGTGATGGAAAAAATAGTTGAATTTGTTTAAATATGTTATAACTCTTAGATTCATAATTCAACTATTTTCTCTCTATCAAGTGGGAGAATTTAGCATGTCAATGGTATAGAAACGAGAATAA